CCCTGGTGATGCTGCACACCTCCGCGAACGGGACTCAGGGGAGGGTGCTTCGGTGGTCTGGCCCTTTTGGGGGTCGGCACGGCCAGGTGGGTGCCCCGTGCGGGTGCCCCTGGTGACGCCCCACACCCTGGCACACGGACGGACGGGGCTCGCTGCGGGCTCTGCGGGGAGGGGAAAAAAAAACTCCTCCTCCGATGGCGAGAGATGTCGTCGACGGCCCCCCTCCCCTGGGCCTGTCGGCCCCGGAGGGGTGATCAGACTAGACGGCCACGTGGCCGTTTCCACCGGTTCTAAGGAGATATTTTATGTAAAAGTAAACTTAAATCGGGCCTGTCCCTCTACAGGAGGAATATTCAAAAGAGTCAACAAATAGTCAGGGGACGATTGTTTCGAGTATTTTTTACCATCCATGGGTACTTTTTTGAATACTTCTTATTTTGCTCCCAAAATCCGCCTGTAAGAGGACGTGCCCGACCTAAAATTAGACAGACAGAGCGAGGAAGGGGGGAGAAAAGGAGAGACCAACATAACTTTCTCCGTCTCTGCGGCCGCCCGCGCCCGGAGCGTCTCGCCAGTGCCGGCCCACGCGCCTGCGTCCGCCAGCGCTGGCGATCAAGGAAGTGCCAGTGCAGGTCGCCGGCTGGGGGCGCGGAGGTGATAATCAGCTGCTGTTGCTGCTGCCTCCTTCGTATCCTGCTTGGGTGCATGGTCTGCATGAGCTCAGGGGATGTCCAAGCAGTCCAAAGCAGTCCCCCTTTCTCGCTCCTCCGTCCCTCGTCTGGTCCCTCCTCTCCATGCCTTTACGCATCCGCTTGCCCGGCTCATTCCTCCTGCTGTTGGTGGTGCTCTTCCTCCTCTTCGTCATCTTCCTGCTCCTCCTCCCATTCTCTGACTTCTCCACCTCCCCCTTCTCTGACTCCTGCAGCTGCTGCTGCTGCTGCTGCTGCTCCCTTTTCTCTCTCCCTCTCTCTCTCTCGTTTTTTTGTGTGTTATCATTATTTGTTGTTCTCTCTTTCTCTCTCTCTATATCCCCCGTTTTCCTTCTCTCACATCCTCTCTCTCCCTCTCATTGTCTGAGCCTTTCACTCTCTCACGCTCTCTCTCTCTCTCTCCCTCTCTCTCTCTCTTTGTTTGGTTTCTCTATTTCTCTGTCCCCCTCTGTCTTTCTTTCTCCCGCCCTCCCCCTCTCTCTCACTGTTTTTGCTCAACGCATTCTCTCTCTATCTCTCTCTCTCTATGTACTCTTCTCCCTTCCGCCCCCTTCTCTCCTTCTATTTCTCCCTCTCCCTGTCTATCCCCCTCCGTCCGTTTTCTTCTCTCTGCCTCCTCCTCATTATCCTCCTCCTCCTCCTTCCCCTCTGCCCCCCCTTCCTTCTCTCCTCCTCCTCCTCCTCCTCCTCCTCTAACCCTCCTCCTCCCCCTTTGCCTCCCTTCCTCCAGCCATCCTCCTCCCACCCTCTTCCTCCCTCTGCCTCTCGTTCTCCAGCCCTCCCCCTTGCTGTCCCCCCCTCTCCCTCCCGCTCTACTTCCTTTCCACAGTGACACATTATGAATACTACTCACCTCTCCCCCCCGAGTATGTCCCGAGAGTGTTCGCCCACCGTTCGTGTCTGGTTTTTGACGCAGGATTTATGCGAATTGGCTTTTCATATGGTTAGTGTTGCAGTCCGATCGTTTCTCCAGTTTTTCAGACGTGGTGCTCTCTCTGCAGCGTGGGCCTCATTTTCGGATCGGCGCTGTGCTCCCGTCGTTCAGAATGGCACTCCCACCCCAGGGTGGGCCACTTTTCTGGATCCCACAGGTCACGGGTCCCACAGGTCTCGTAGGTCTCGCAGGCACCACAGGTTCTACAGGATCTACAGGACCTCCGTGCAGAACGATCTGCTGGCCGCGTCTTCTTTGTCGGGAAAGGGCGGTCGGGGGGGAGCCAAACCTCACCCCCGAGTTTCTAGGAGATGGATTGGCCGCGAGCCCGTTTGGAATTCGTACTCATGATTGCACAGGCGCCGCGTGCTGGATCGTTGATGTCGCCTTCGACTTCCACCTCACCACTGTGAGGCCGAGCTCGTTGTGCCGCACTGCCTCCTGCATTTCAGCGCCAAGTACCATGCCTACTACATCTTCGTCGTCGTCTCCCCATCGGTCCCCAACATCTGCTCTCCATGCACGTTGCTTTGATCCTGCTCATGAGGCCGTCGCCGATCACGCACGTTTGGCTGATGACCGGCTACTCCCACACCTGCCCCCACTGCCAGTCATGATCCTCCTGCCAGGCAGCGATCGTCTACAGGACGTCATCGCGAAGGACGTCCCGCTGCAGATCCACGCGCGCAACCTGTTGCACCGCGTCGTCGCCCCTACGGCCCGTACTTCCACGCGGTCGGCCGCGAGCATGGCCGAGGTGCTTGTCCTTGCCTCCCTCGCTCCACGTCGAGCCCATCCAGCCCCTTCCAGAGCGGCTTCTATATCGTGGAATGGAACACCCAGGCGCTGTTCGCCGCGGACCCCCTCCAGCACAGGCAGAAGTCGGAGTACGTGCGCAATCTCATGAAATCGCACGACATCGTGCTCTGGACGGAAACAAATGGGACTCGGGAGCAACGCCGTCTGGGCTAACCCCGTGGGCTGCCGGTCGTGGTGGGAGCCTGACCCGACCACCGCGTCGGCGGGCGTCGGCATCACAGTGCGCCAATCCTTTCTCGACCGTTTCAACCACCCGCCAAAATGGATCCAGATCATTCCGTGCCGCACCGCCGTCTTACGACTCCGTGGTGATGCGGGAGCACTGGGCATCTATGTAGTTTATGTTCACACTGGCACGGAGGTCACGGCGCACGACATACGAGGCGCTGCTTTAGACTCTCTCGGCAGGACGCCCTCTTTCGCGGAGCTCCGCGACGCACTGCGGGTTCGGCTTGCCGGCATCTCCAGCCGCGCGACCAGGCGCTCGCATTGATCGGTGGCGACTTCAACTACGTAGTCGAGGAGAGCGACCGGAGGTGCGCGACAACTGCATTACCGACAGGACGCCGGGACACACGAGAAGAGTCCAACTGGCGCCGTCTAATTGAAGCACCTTTTGGGCTCCACGAGCTCCACCAGCCCCACATGACCTATGCCGCCCCCAACTCGCGCTCCGCATCGACAGGTTTTACTCCAACCAGGACGCCATCGACCAGTTCGATCGCAAGATTGTTTGCGCCGCTTTGGAGTGGAAGGCGGACCTCTCTCGACATCGAGCTCTGAGCTTCCGCCGCACGCTCCCGCAGCGCGACGGCCAGGATGACCCGATCCTCCCCGACTCCGCGATTGACCACCCGGACTGGGTCCGACAGGTTTTGTTGGCATTGGGCGCTCTCGTTCGGGATGCCCCGGGCGCCTCGCCCCTTAAACAAAGTTAAACCTGCTGAAGAAAGCTATGGAGGATGCTTCGCACCATCTGCAGCATTCGGCGCCACCATCGCCAGACGCGCTCACGCTCGAGGACAATCGGTGCCACCATGAAGTTCATCCGCTCCGTGGAAACAGGCTCCATCTCTGGCATCAACGCCTGCATGGGACGATACCCTGCTCTGGCAAACCTGGTCGACAATCCCTATCGGCGGGGCGGGTCAGTTCACCGGCGGCTCAGATTGGCTCGTGCGCATGCCGTTGACACAGCCAAAGAGCATGCCATGGACGAGTTAGGCAAGCTCCATTCGAATTTACAGGGCCTGGATGCGGGCACGATCCACAAACGAAGACAACGGAATCACCGTCTTCTGCGACGCCTCGCGCCGGGTCGAGCTTGCGACACTTTCGCCATCGTCGACGAGAGCGGCTCGGCATCCATCTGCCCGGAGGGCATGGCAAGGAGCCTGCGTTCTCATTGGTCCAAGGTTTTCACGCGGAAGCCCACGGGCCAGGATATCCGGAGAACATGGCTTGACGTGGGCGCCGCATCCCTGCCCCCGAGAGCGCGCGACTCCATCCCAGGCTGCCCCGTCGCGCTGCAGGATTTCAAGAGGGCCGTCTGCTTCGCTTCAAATTCCTCTCCAGGTCCGGACGGTATCTCATGCAAGGCGTGGCGCCAGCTTGGCAATGTGGCCGCGGTGGCCTTGCACGACGCGCGCCTCGCGATCGTTGGGGAGGATGGAGTGCAACTTCTGGAGGAGGATTGGGCGACTTCAAACGAGGGCATCATGGTTTTCCTCCCCGAGGAGCCCGTCGGCACGACAGCGGAATGCGTCGACGCGTATGCTGCCAGCAGCACCCGTCCATTCAACATCACCAACACCGATAATCGCATACTCTGCAGCGCTGTGTGTCTGTGCATCGAGCCGCTGGTCGAGGGGGGCGTTTCGACTGTGCAGAGGGGCTTCATCAAGGGCAGGTTCATGATCTCGAACCTCATCGATATCGGGGAAGAGATGTTGAAGGCCTCCCTGACGCAAAACTCCTCCGCAGCTTTTTTTTTTTTTTTTTTTTTTTTTTTTTTTTTTTTTTTTTTTTTTTTTTTTTTCGACTTCGAGGCGGCGTTCCCGAGCATCTCGCAGGAGTTCCTGATGGGTGTGCTCGCCTCGCGCCGGTGGCCCTCGTGGAGCATCTGGTTCGTGAAAGCAATCTATCACGCCAACAACTGCCGCATCAAGGTGGGCGGGCAAAACTACGCAGGGTTCGCGTCGACTGCGGGTGTGCGCCAGGGATGCCCTCTCTCCCTTCTCCTCTTCCCCAGTGTCTCCGACGTCCTTCTCCGTCGCCCCCTGCGTGCGGTCCCAGATGCTGTTCCCCGCACGTGCGCCGACGACCTGGCCGTCGTCCTCGCCCGGGGCGTTCGCCACGCCGATATTCTGGAGCCACTCTTTGACGAGTGCGCGACAATCTCCAGACTCCGCCTACACCGTGGCAAATCAGTGTGGGTTCCGTTATGCTTGAGGCCGCTGCCAGCCGTGCGAGACAGTCTCCACGCCCGTGCTCCAACCTGGGCGGATTTTGACGTCCAGAGGTGCGCCGCCTACCCGGACTTCGCGGTCGGCCCGGAGCGCGGCGACCGCGCCTGGGACAAGGCAGTGGATGAGGCCACTCAGCGGGCTCGGCTATGGAGTGCCATGGGGGGTGGCCTTCTCATCGCCATCGAGGCGTACCGCTTTCAGTTATTTCCATTGTTCTCTTTCTTCATTCAGCTGGACAGAACGCCTTCGTGTTGGGGGGGAAGCCAAGTTGTGCTCGATTTATTACTTGGCCCTCGCGGCTGGGCTCCGCCGAGCACTCTGCGGAACTTGTGGGTCCTGGGCTTCCACGCCGAGCTTCCCGACCTGCGCTTGTGCGCGCTGGCCGCCAAGTGCCGCGTCCACAGGTGGGGCAATCGCGCAGCCGGAGGCTTAAACATCCCACCGCGACAGGCGCATCTTCGCAGCTTGGCCTCCTACGCGGACCACTCGGGCCGCGTCGTGGCTTGGCACGCGTGGCATGGCTCGCGCTTTCTCCAGAACGTCCAGGAGGCCCAAGATCGACTGGATAATCTTGCTCGTGCCTCCAGCGCCGCGGTCACCCTGCTGTTCCAGGGCTAGTCTTCGCAGCCCGCGCCGCGCGCGGAATGGCAGAAGCGGTGCCGCGTACTACTCCAAGCAGTTCTACGGGACGCAGTATTCCGGCACTTACGTTGGGAGCTGGACAAGTGCACCCTGAACCTATTGCCTGGCAGGCTGTTCAAAACGTACACCAACGGCTGGACGCCGCCGCCGAATTTTCAGACACGGGCGGCATGCATATTCGGCTGCGGGCGAGGCGAGGACAATCTACGCCATTACGCGTGCTGTCCTACCATCGCCACCTTCGCGCGCGCCAAGCTGGGCATGACGTATGCCGACCTGGACCAGTTCCTGGTGCTCCAGCCCCAGTTCACGCCCGAGACGGTGAGCGAGCTGGCACGCAGAGCGATCTGTCTCTTCGCGGTGCACTCCGCCATAGCGGCGCGACGGCACGGCGGCACGTCCAGTGCGGCCGAGGCGCTGGCCCATTTTGCTCGCGAGGCGTGTGCCGCGCACCCCCGTGCCGCGGCGCACGCCCGAGCTGCCTGGATCTCCTAGCCTCTCCCCTCCTCCCTCCTGCCTCTGCTGCTGCTGTTGCTGCTGCCGCTGCTGCCGCTGCTGCCGCTGCTTCCGCTGCTGCTTGTCGTGTCCGTCGTCCTCCTTGTTTCTCCTCTCGTAGTGGCGTGGTGCTGCTAGTTATTGGTTCATCATGTTTGTAGCACGATTTGCGACCGGTCGCCGCGAGGCAGGCGAGTCTCCCCCGAGTCCGGGGCTATTGTTGGTGGTTTTGTCCCTCTTCCTCCTCCTCCTTCTTGTCCCCTTCTCCTGCTGGTAGATTTTTGTTGTTTGGTAATTTGGCCATAGGGCTTGTATAAATCTGCTCATCCGTCGACGCAGACCGGCTCGCCTATCGCAGGTTGGCCGGCGCACTGTTTCAGGCTAGTGTTTCGTCGTTTCTCTTCTTCCTCGTCCTCGTCCTCCTCCCGTTGTTCCCGTTCCTCCTCCTGTTCCTTGCCGCCGCTTGGTCGCTCCAGGTGGGCTTCCCGCGCAACTTCATATCCATCCGCGGGCCCGATACGAACCAAGGCAATTTCGTTTCATACGCCAGCTGGCGTTCCTCCCTCCTCCCGCGTCCTCCGTCCTCGTCCCCCTCCTCTTCCCCTTCCCCCTGAATGTGGTGACGTTCGCGAGGCTGGCCACTTCAGTTCTTCCCGCCAGTGTTTTTTTTACTTCTGGGATGTTGTTGTAAATCTAGCCGCTGGTGAATCTCTGCCACATGTCGCCACGGAGTGCGCAGGTGACCCGAGAACTGTTGCGATCGTCCCGTCCTGCTTGCCCCTCCTTCTTCGGCAGGTGTCGCAGGTCGTCCCACAGGTCCCACATGTAATTACCACGGGTCTGACATGTTCCACAAATCCCACAAGTCCGACAAGTGTCGCAGGTCTCGCATGCCCCACAGGTCCCACAGGTCCGACAAGTCCCGCAGGTCCTGCAGGTCCAATAGGTGTCGCATGTTGCACAGGATCCCCACAGGTCTCGCAGGTCTCGCGGGCACCACAGGTGTCGCAGGTCTCACAGGCCCCACAGGCCACAGAGGTCCCCCAGATCGCACAGGTCCCACAAGTTTCCGTTCTCCGATTTGCGCATAACACAATGTTTTTTTTTTTTTTTTGCAATTGCAGATCGGTTATGACACGCGTCCGCGGATAGAGCAGGAATCGCACAATTGGAAGGGATGGGAGGGAGGGACAGGATGTCAGATATGGCAAGAGCGCACCTAGCTTGACAATGTTCCATTATGAACACTGCTCTCTTCTCTCCCCTGACTCTGTCCGGAAGATGTCTCGCCCTCTCCGCGTACTGTACGATACCACACAATATTTGAAACGTTGATTTTCTTATGTGTATTCGCGTTTCGACATTTTGTAGGTGTTTCAAGCTGGTGCTCCCGCTGCAGCGCGGGCCTCATTTTAGGATCGGCTCTTTGCTCTCACCCAGGATGGCGCTCTCGACCCAGCGCGGGCCACTTTTCTGGATGGATCGGAGTCCTTTGTCATCGTTGCCGCCCCGTTATTTCCCCTCCTCCGCCTTCCCCTCGTCATCTGCTCTTCCCATTCCTTCATACTCATTCCATTCCTCCAGTTTCTGCTGCTGCTGTTCGCCCCCGTCCTCTTTCTTTATCCTCCTCCTCCTTGTCTTCCTCATCATCCTTCGGAGGTTGATAGACCTCCTACCCTGACGCGTCGATTAACGAATTGGCCGTTTTCGGTGCGCGAGAGGGCGTCGCGGCCGTCATTTTTTCGGGTCCAGGTCCTCGGTCTTAGGCCGTCATCACTAAATGGTGGTTTAGTAAAGGAAGGTTTGTTCACCTCCGAATCCTGCTCCTCTGCCACCTCCTCCTCCTATGTGCGCAGTTCCCCTGCTCCGACAGCATAACAAACGATGAGCTTTCTGTTGCAGTTCCAGGTTGGTTATCACACGCTTCCGCGGACAGAGACAATCCGCGCCATGGGAAAGGGAGGGAGGGATAGGATGTCAGATGTGGCGCGAGTGCACCTAGCTTGCCCCCCCCTCCCTCCCTCACATTCCTTTTGTAGGTCGCTGCTCCCCTGACCTGTCGACTGGAAGTTTTGCCATGGGCTAGCCCAGAGGCCTACCGATGTCTCGGCGCTGACACTTGCTACTTACAAGATGCAGTGAGCCCTAAAGGTGCCCTGGGGCAAAGGCAAATGAGCTAGAAAGCTAGGCTTGGGCTCCAAAATCTCACCCCTGAGCACCCTCACCCCTGTGAGGGTGGCACTGCAGGGGCAGCCGCCCCAGTCCCCTCCAGGACCCCTCTCTTTCCGCCAGGGTGCGCCGCAGGCGCGCCCTCCGCTTTCCCCGTGACGACCAGGGGGCCCCGGCCAGCCGGCGCCCCCCGCCGCCACTGCACCGGTCGGCCGTCGGCCCGCGCACTTGTGGGAGGTTCCAGCTGTCCGCCGGCGCCAGCTCCGGCCAGGGCCGATCATGGGTCCAGTCGGCTAGACGTGAGAGTGACCTTTCGTTGGAGTGACCTTTGTCGCGGGCCCAATGGGGTCCCCTGATCGCTGAACGCGACGCGGTAGCAGCGGCTTCCGCGCCTGGTTTTGGCCACCCCGCGTCCCCCGGTACGCCGCGCACCAAAGGTCACCTGTTGCCTTGAGTCATTCTTGCATGTAACCGATCCAGGAGGTCGGAGGCGACGGTAGGGGCGAATAGCCCAGGGGGGCGATAGGGCGATAGGGGCGCATAGCCCAGGGGGAAGCAAAACATGTACCCCCCCCCAACGTAGACTACCCACCTAAAGTAACCAGGACCTCGGTGACTCCGAGCCCGGCCCGCGCGGATTGGGCGGGCGTGACACCTGCATTCTGGCGATGCGTAAAACCCGCCCCTGGGTTATTCGCCCTTATCGTCGCCGCCGAGGGGACACTTCCTGTGTCCCCTGGCGATAACGGGCTTGACTGGGGGGGAGAGGAGAAGGGAGCCAGTCACGTCAAGATTCGGGCTGGCGCCGCTTGGGAATGCTCAGGAACGGTCAATTCCCACGGCGGCGGCGCGAATGTAGACGTGATCAGGGGGTTGGGGAGCGGCTGGTCACGAGCGTTATCGCGAATAATAAAATCCGCGCTCCAGAGTCGGCGCGTGTGTGCGATGAGGATGGTCTTCGGGGGCGTCCAAGAGGGGGATGATGAAAAGGAGGTGGGTATCATGGCCGGGGCCATGGTATTTCCCTTGATCTTATGGCCCCCTCTTCTGCTTCCAGTGTGTCCCCTGGCCCTCCCCTCGAATACGCACATGCCTCTGGCCAGCATTTGCGACCCCCCTCTTGGGCGCCCGGCGTTAGGACGCCCCCGCAGGGCTGGCGCGTGTACGATAGCCAGAGTGAAGGGGGCCGAACGGTCATTCACTGTCCCTGGGCACGTGGCTAAAGTAGGGTGGCACGGTGCGGATGGATCTTGTTGTTGTTGTTGTTGTTGTTGTTTTTGTTGTTGTTGTTGTTGTTGTTGTTGTTGTTGTTGTTGTTGTTGTTGTTGTTGTTGAACTCTCATTCTTGAAGAATAATTATTGTTGATCCCCCCCCACCGGTGCACATTGATTTTTTTCAATTGAAGTGCCACCCCCGGGGCTCGCACCTTGTTTTTTCTCAAGGAAAGTCTTCCTGCTCAAACTGTGCCCCTGCCCCCCGGGCTACAACAACAACGGCTCCCGCCTGAGACTTCCTCGATTTTTACTCAGGACCCCGCTCCCGCCTGAGACTTCCGCGCAATTTACTCAGGAAAGGCGCTCCCGTCTGAGACTTCCTCGCAATGTAATCAAGACCCCCGCTCCCGCCTGAGACTTCCGTGCAATTTACGTGGGAACGGCGCTCCCGCCTGAGACTTCTTCGAATTTTACTCAGGACCCCCGCTCCTGCTTGACATTTCCGCGCAATTGACTCAGGAACGGCGCTCCCGCCTGAGACTTCCTCGCAATTTAGTGAGGACCCCCGCTCCCGCCTGAGACTTCCGTGCAATTTGCTCAGGAACGGCGCTCCCGCTTGAGACTTCCTCGCAACTTAGTCAGGGCCCCCGCTTCCGCCCGAGATTTCTTCACAATGTACTCAGGACTGCGCTCTCGCGTGCGACGTCCTCACAAATTATTCTGGAATTGCGTTTCGGCGCTCAGGATCCACGCACGCGCCAAGGACGCCTTCACAACGTGGTATCTTCCCTCTTCCTTCGTCCTTCCCCCTCCCCTTCCTCCCACTCTCCCTCGTTCTTCCCCTCCTCCTCTTGCAGGGCCCGCGCCAATTCCAATGGCGGGCAGAGAGATGTACGCCCCCGAAGGATTGTCCGCCCGTTTCGGTTTGCCCGTACGTCTAAGCCCGCCGGCCCCAGCAAAGAGAAATAATCCCGCCGAAAGGGGTGTGATCGAAGACGAAGAGGGCGGGTATCGAGGGTGTAGGGTATACGTGTTGAATGACTCGCGGGCAAGTAAGAGCGTACAGCCTTAAATGGTTGTTGTTGAACATTATAATTCTAAAGAATAATTATATGTTGGGCCCCTGGTAGCGCGCCCCCCCCGCGCGCCTAGGCGCAGCCACGTATTTCATCATTTTCGTTGAGGAAGCCTCAGGTAATTCCGGGTGAACAAGGTTACGGTTGTTTTGTTGTTTATCGTTTTCCCTTGCAAAAAACACTATAAAATGAAATTTCTTGTTCTAAAATAACCAAACTTCAAGAATCCCTTGCAAAAATAAGGTAAAGTGGACATTCGCGCGCGCAAGACGAAATCCTTCCAAAACCTTAGTGTTCGTAGCGATTTCAACATAAAAACATCAAAAAAACCAATGGTTTTTTAAACAAAAAAAGTGTCACAATTTCATCCCGCGCGCTCTTGCGGATGTAGGAAACCCAACACATTTTTAAACATTTCTGTCAAACGGGCTTTTGCGAAGCACTTTTCGAACTTTCTGCGACAACGGTTTGCGCCACATGCCAGGGGCCAGTGGGCCCTGTTCAAATAATACCATGCGGGAACATTCGTTTTTTTCTTCGCGCGCGCACGCCGCAATATCTCCAAAACCATTGGGCTTCTTAAGAATTTAGTCCGCCGCGCATTAAAAATCACACGAATCGCACGTACGAGCGTAGGCTTAAAAACACCTTTGCCCGACATTTCAAAATTTTACCGCGCGCGCGTTGTCCTAAACAAACTTCTGTGCGGTGTGTACTCCACGCCGTGTAGTAGCCACGGTCGTCCGCAGGCACGAAGTGAGTGTCCGAACGTCAGTAGGGCGGGAAGCTGGGTGGTGGGGTGGCTCGAAGATCGTGTGGATATTTGGTTTTTAGAGCTTTATGTTTTTTTGTATTATTTTTTTTTTTTTTTATTTATTCTTTTTGCATTGCCCCCCCACAAAGTGGGGGTATTGGCTGGCGTCGCATGAAAACCCTGGCACTGGTGAGAACACTGAGCGTTCGGGTAAAGTGATTGTTGTTGTTGTTGTTGTTGTTGTTGTTGTTGCTGTTGCTGTTGCTGTTGCTGTTGCTGTCGAATTCTCATTTCTGAAGAATATTATTGTTGATCCCCCCCCACAGGTGCATACTGTTTTTTCTCAATCAAAGTGTGCCCCTCGACGCGCGCACCCTGTTTTTTTGCCAGGGGAAGTCTTGATGCTCAAACTGGGCCCCTGGCCCCCGGGTTACAACAACAACGGCTCCCGCTTGAGACTTCTTTACAATTTAGCCAGGACCCCCGCTCCCGCCCGAGACTTCCTCGCATTTTATTCAGGAATCGCGCTCTCGCTTGGGATTTCCTTGCAATTTATTCAGGAATCGCTCTCCCGGCGCTTTGGAGTCGCGCTCTCGCTGGAGACGTGCTTGCAACTTACTGAAGAATGGCCTTGCGTTTGATTTTTTTTGCAATTTGCCCAAGCGCCGCGCTCCCGACACCCAGGCACCCAGGAGTCGCGTCCGTTGTGGCCTCATGTGCATGCCCTTCGTGGCCCCGCTGTCACCATTTGTGTCCCCTACTGTCCTACGTGGCCCAGTTGCTACCCTCAGTGGCCCCAGAGTTGCCTTCTGTGGCCCCGCACTATCTGCACTTCGTGGCCCCTGCTCGTTCGCGCTCTTCGTGACCCCATGCGCATTCCCTTCGTGTCCCCTCTGTCGTCCTTCGTGGCCTACTTCGTGCCCTTCGTGGCCCTGCTGTCGTTCTCTCTCGCTCTCGCTTTAGCTCGTCGTCGCCGTCGTCGTCGTCGCCGTCGTCTTCGACGTCGTCGTCGTTGTCGTCGTCGTCGTCGTGGTCGGTCCCCTGTCCGTCCCTCTTGGGGTCGGGTCGACGGTCCGCGGCCGCCCCGCCGATCAGCGCTGCCGCTGGCCAGGCCGACGGTCCGCGGCCGCCCCGCCGCTTGCCGGGGCCCGGCCTGCAGGGAAGAAAGGTATACCCCCCAAAACGGGTTCGATCGAAGACGAAGAGGGCGGGTATCGAGGGTTTTGGAAGTACGCGTTATTGGACACTCGAGCATATAAGGGCGAACGGTCTCAGATTATGATCATTGTTATTATTATTACTATTATTATTATTATTATCATTATTCTCATTATTATTATTATTATGATTATAATCATTATTATTAATTTTATTATTACTATTATTCCCATTATCATTATTTTTATTCTTTTACTGGTATCATTTATATTATTATTGTTGTTGTTATTATTATTATGGGATATCTTACATCGTGAAGCATGTGTTGCACCGCAGAAGGGCCGTACTTGGGTCGGCTCAAGCTCTCAGCCACCAGATGCAACACATCTGGTGGGAAGGTCTGAAGGATTCCATTGTGGTGGGCATCCACTACTACACTGCCTCGCTGGCAGCGGTGTGCCCCGCCTGCCCCGAGGCCCACTTCCCCAGCATCCCTGCCTGTCCGCCATTGAGCTGTGGGGACTGCCGTTGCCCCGAGGGATCGTCTATCCCTTACGTGGCCGCCACCGGGGCCCTCATCGCCGTAGGCTTCCTGACCTTCGGCTTGGCGGTGGGCAGTCTAATCGGGTTCCTCGCTGGTCGGCTTCTGCCAGCTCTGGCTTGCCCGCGGTGCTCTGCAGGCGCGGGCACGCAGGGGCCGGCGCCACCGGCTTGCGAGCCGAAGGGCGTGGCGGCGGC